CATATGATATTTTCACATTTTTCATTCATTAGATAATGTGAGATTCACATTATCTAACATTGTCAAGTATACTGATAAAATAAATTTATCGACCTTGGTTTTGCTGGTTATTAAACATATGCCTTAAATATTTTTGTAATTTTTAGCTCAACGCAATGGTCCAGCAAGTGATGCACCACCGCCATATACACCTCCATTGTCCGATTGGTATCCAGCGCAACCTTCAGCTTATCAACCTTCTCCAACTGGATACTATGGATGGATGCCTCCAACCAATGTATTTCCAGATGTTCCTCCAGGTCTGATGTTGATTTTTTAATTTTTAATCTTTAATTAAAATCCTTGATTTATCTATTTATTAGGATATTTTAAATTTTAAGTCTTAAATGAATTTAGATTTAAAAAGAAATCTTCTATCTCAATTTTTCTAGCAAGATTTAGTTTGCTTTTTGAAATTAATTCAGTTAAGTAATCGTGGAAATTTTATATTTCGCTTTAGTATTAGATCTTGTGAATAAAAATATTATAAAAAAATGTTCTTAGCGAAAATAATTTTTTTCATACTCTAAGGACATATGTATTTCATCAAAAGTTAAAATCTTAAAAATTTCACAATAATTAATCTTCACACTGATTACGATATTCTAACTATTTATATTGACTATATCATTAGACTTACATTTCGATTATCATTCTACAATTGCATTTGCTTAATATTTGAGTATAAAATAAAATTCATATTAATCCTGAGAACTCTGCGTTGACAGTAATGACATACCGTCGCGATGAAAAATAGAAGTTCATTCATCTTTATATAAGCGATGTATGAATAACAAAATTTTTTATTGCAGCTATTTTTGTTATTATAATTCTTAATTGTGCAACTATGACTTGTTTCGTACTTATCAGATTCGTAAAAATGGGCGGCAGCTAAAATTACCTTTGAACATTACATGTAAAAGCATTTTTTTCCACTTTCAACAACTGTCAAATCATGTGTTTTCTGTCTGAACAGGCTTCATTTCACGTGCCTTTTACAGCTATTTATTGACTATCAGGAAGGGAAAATATAGCAGCCGCTCATTTCCACAAATGTTTTAAAACCATATAGTGTTTTAGATATTTTAGTGTTTTAAGATATTTTAGTTAAATATCTCTTTATTTGCAAAAAACCGCAATAACCTTTATTGTGTCATTTCTCATCTATGACGTTACGTTTTCCAATATGACCGCGGTGACTACTAGGTCTTAAGGCTCGGCTTAGGCGTGGTGACTACTTAGATCTTAAGACTCGGCTTTCTTACGGCGTGATATGGATTATGTGACATCAGAAGCGAAAAATGACATGCAAAAAGTTTCTTATAACTCTATTTTATACTTTTTCTTTAAAAACATGATATTTTCATATTCTTAAAACTTGTAAAAAATATCAGAAAGTAAAATATCAACTAGATCTAATGATCTAATGATTTCTGATAGCTGTATCATTATGCAATGTATCATTATTTCAAAAATTATTTTACACTTTTACGTGATCTATTAGGCAGATATTTTTAAGTTTTTTATTGCAGCTATTTTTGTTATTATAATTCTTAATTGTGCAACTATGACTTGTTTCGTACTTATCAGATTCGTAAAAATGGGCGGCAGCTAAAATTACCTTTGAACATTACATGTAAAAGCATTTTTTTCCACTTTCAACAACTGTCAAATCATGTGTTTTCTGTCTGAACAGGCTTCATTTCACGTGCCTTTTACAGCTATTTATTGACTATCAGGAAGGGAAAATATAGCAGCCGCTCATTTCCACAAATGTTTTAAAACCATATAGTGTTTTAGATATTTTTTTAAGAAAAAAATACAAAATAAGGAATATCCTGTATGACGCAAAAAACTTTACATTCTCGCTTTTAACATCACAATATGATTGTAGTCGAATCTTAAATTTTCTTTTTTTTTTAGGAAATACAGTTTATATGACGGACAGTCCGCCACCATATCCCGGTATACAGCCGGGATATGGATATGCAAGCGGGCCGCCACATCAAGGTGCTGGAGCTGCAACGGGACAACCAGGAGCTCCTGGATGGGCCAATCCGAATTACAACAGCCAGTCGATGTCCCATGCAGGTGCGTATCCCAGCTACAGTTATGGACAACCGCCTTACAGCGGTTATTCGCCTAATCCACCACCATACTCGGCGTACCCGCAAAGCGGCTATACGCAACCTGGACCATACAATCAACAGCCGGGACCTTACAATCCATATTCACGTCAATACTAAGAATTGTAATGAATAGATGTGTGTGTATGTATGTATGTATATATACCTATGTATCTTGTAATATAAATATATATACATTTGCTATTTAATTATGAATTATAACAAATGAACAAAGTTTAGAGAATTATATACACGAATGAATACACTAGACATTTCTTTAAAAATAATATATACGCTTATGCGAAAAAAATATATATAAAGTATATATATTTTCTAATATCAATAGATTGTATAAGATATACTTTTCGCAATTAAAGGATTATATTTATATGCATTGATTTCATGAGATTCTAACGTACGTTATATATATTAAATATGCGCTAGTATTTATAACGTATACTATAATCTCTATATATCTTATCTGTATTATATATATATATATATATATATATATATATATATATACAGATAAGATATATAGAGATTATAGTATATATGTATACGTATATATATACATACGCTATACGTAACATTAAATATTGATTAAAGATAATTTTTGCTGTTTTTATTATAAACCTATCAATTCAAGATTTCATCTCAAAATCGAAAAATAGATAAAAAGATTTAGGAGACTCGCTAAACTTGAAAGTTTTATATATTAAGCAATATAGTTGCGTAACATGTCCTTACTCGATCTGAAATAAGATTGGCTTTCACTTCACTCAATTATTATCTCGCGGCCGTCAGTAGATCAGTATACGGTTCGAATAGACAGACATATCAGATTATAATTCAAGTTTTTTTTTTCTAATTCGTGTTCTTACACTGTGTATTTCAAATACGAAATATAATTTTTCATGTATATAAGTGCATAGACAAACGCTTTTGATATTGATTATTAAATGGTTTGCATCCAGTTAGAAAACAAAATTGAGTAAAAAATCATGCCAGAGCAAAATAAATGCGGTACATCAAATAGAAAGTGTGCATGTAGGTAGTATTAATATTGATATTAATAATAATGAAAGAAATATGAGTCATATAAATTTAATGTGATAGAATAATATGTATTATTTTATTCTTAATTTGTGTTCAAATATATCATTCCATGTTGTCATTTTTTTTATTCATTAGATGCAAAGGCTGCAGAAGCTGCGCAAAGCGCATATTATGATCCCAATAGGCCTCAATGCGCTTATGTTCCACCACCAGAATATTACGTAAGTTAATGGTATCTGCAATATTTCAAAGTACACGAAAATATTTATTGTATTTTTTTTATTGTATTTTATATTTGAAAATTATTTCTAAGCACGCAGAATTTGTCATATTTCTTTCCTGCTTCTTGTTCTAGTATAGAAAAAGTATAAAAGAAACTCTCATTCTTTAACTTTCCGTTGTATTCTTACTTTGCAATTAATGTAAATTATCTTATGTGTGAAAATCGAAATATCCAAAATGTGTCACCCCGTACACTGTATACCATTACATCGATATATCGGGAAATATCGTAACATTCTCATTTTTCTGTAGAGAGATTGAACAAATTTATATATTATATGTTATATATTATATATTATATAATATTCACGAGATTGCAATTTCAATATCAATATATGCATTATTATATATAAAATTCTATAAAAATTCTATATAATAAATTTTGTCGATATATTTCAGGAAAGTCCACCAGCTTACACAAAGAAATATCAGTGAAAACATATACGCGTTGCGCAAGCGAATTATATAGCAATCGACATGCATTTCTCCTTAGATGAATACTGCAAATTTGTGTGCTGTCGTGCATTTAACGTAGTAAACTTTCTACGTTTGTTACATAGCAACTCTTGAATCTGAATGTGTAGGTTCAAGATGACGGTTAAAGGTGCACTACTATTTTTGTCGTTACAGCTATGCATTGTTAAAGCACAGATATTATTGTTGCAGATATTTGCAACAATACTGCTATGTATTAACGCGAGTATTAACAATAATTTCTTACATGTTATTTCTTGAAAATGATTGTATTGTTGTGTTTCACACGAATCTATATAATTACAAAATAAATGTTTACACGCATGTAAATACGTAAATGACTTGTATAACCATGAATTTAAATACGCCATACACTATAAAAATGTGTATATATCTATTTCACAAATCTTTATTCGAAATTACAAAAATATATTTATACAATGTATTTATATTATGACACTATGAATGCAGTCGAGTGTAAAAGCACAAACCGATATCGATTTATATATACATCTTTGACAAAATTATTTCTTCAAATAATCGAAAAGAAAGAGACGATTTCTATTTACAATTAAATAAAAGATAGCTTATATTACGAGACGATATTCTTATATGGATACAATGGCCATTTATTTAAAATGTATACAATTAAATCTTCCTACTTAATAATTTAATTTTATTCGTTGAGATAACTGTATATAAGAAAAAAATGTCAGCATCGAATAAAATGCTGACTATAAAATGGTATCGATATATATATTCTGTATTCAAATTTCTCCAATCAATATATTTGCAAAAAGATAAAAAAAGACAACTACCTAGAATCCTATCCAAGTAGTTTGTACTCGTGATTTGTTATAAATATACAATTTGAAAAACATGTAAAAAAGATTTAAAAGTCTACCCATACTCGGAGGTGACTGTCAGACTAAGAGTTCCATTTTCGATGTGGGTACTGTGGTACCAAATCCGCGTGTCCAATAATACGACATCCGCTACATTGACGGAGAATTTAAAAGATTTACATTCGCTTTCGCATTCCGGCGTTGGGGCCACGGTCCACGTTTTGCTACCTGTTACCTGAGCTTGCCACATAAGTCTCGATATATAATCCAGCTATAAACAGGAACAGAAATATTCGTGTAAAAGATGACGAGTTACAGTACCACTCGCGGATGATTACTCACGTGCATAACGGCACCTTCCTCATAGCCCATAAAGATATAATTGCTGTATGGAATTTCCGCGTCATCCGGCAAGAAGTGAGGTATGTCGTAGAATTGCTTCATAGCGTCTAGGATCTGCGGATGGCAATTTTTCCAACCGACGTACCAGGAATCTTCGCCTTCCCGATGTAACGCTCGATCTTCGCTCATTGCAAACACCTCGCGCAGATTCGCAAAGTTACTTTTAAAATGCAAAAATTGGCATTCCTCATCTACCGACTCGTAAGCACCTTCGGTATGTTCATACAAATTTCGAAAGAAGTCTAGAGTAAATTCTTTACGTGCAGGCCAATCATAAGCTGCATTCTTTATTATCATAGGTCGAGATGAATAGGAATAAAAACGAAATTCCTGTTTAGTCAGATTTTGCAAGATTAACGGTGATTCAACGTCGCGACAGTAATCGCAATTCGATATCGGTCTCGTAAATTCCCATACGAGATAATTATTTGGCAGTAAACATCGAGTTCCTTGAAAACTTCTAATTATGTTAGTGTAAAAATATTTATCAAATATGCCATAGAAAAACGGCACGAATAACATCACCGATAAGAACAATTTTTTTGAACGCACGGTTGTAAAGCTACAATTCTTAATACTTTTTGTGTTAGCAATCACAGTGATGGATTTTAAATCGTTTATCGTAGCCCCGTGTCGAATATAATTTTCAGTTAATGTAAGAAATGTTTTTTGTATAAATTCTCCACTGTTCGCCGCCGCCGTCATTTTAGAACAATCAATCATCCGTATCTCCGCCTTTCATTTCTTAGAAAGATATTTAAAGTTGTTTACATTCGTAAGCTTAACATAAAGTTTAACATAAAGTTTAATATTTCTCTTTTTGTAGAATATGAAATATAATTCGTGCTTTCGATACTCCACTTTTGCACTTATGTACTACGCGGTATCACTTGTGTTATGATTCTCTTCTCAATAATTTATCAATAGTATTTATCAATACTATGGCACCACAGCCACTTGTTACCTGCCGTCTTAACAATCGCTTACAATGTATTGCTAACATCGCACGTCGATACTTACATCTATTATCATTGCTCCGGTAAATACGGTATATTTATATAGTATATGAATCATTTTCTTTATTTAGATCTTGACGTGGGCTCGTTGTTTACATTGTCAGAAGATTGTAGAAGATATCTGATTTATAAATCCAATTTCTTCGCACGCAATATTTTATGTCGTTTCTGTCATTTCTCTCACGACGGTCCGATGCGGTAATCTTTGTGCAAAGGTAACCCATCCAGAGTTAAAGCGCAAATAATACATATAGCGATAAATGATATAATCCACATTTATACGCTCATATACGCAACATCTTGTTTGTCCTTGAGCTACATACACGCGACTGTGAGCTGTAAGAGCTGCAGAGCTGCTATTGATTATACGGCGGAAACTTTCATCTCCCAGCTGGTGGGGATTCTCCTTCCAATGGCATTCACATCTGCCTTACGAATGGAAGTCTGCCCTAGTCGCAGATAAGTACTTTAACAAGATGTTTCCTGAATCATATGTTCAACAGATGTGTCTTCCGCCTCCGTTACAGAAAAGAAAATCGCTTGCATTATGACGCATATGCGCGTATACGTTTAGAATAGGTTTTTCACATAACGTATGCCGGCAAAATATGCATGATTTATTACTTTGTCATTTATTAACATCTTTATTTAATAGGTAAAATTGCAATGAAGAAGATTAAATGTTACAAAACAAAAGTCTGAGAAATGTTTATTTTATCAAATCACACAACCTAATGTACAAGTCTCATTCAAACCGACTTTTGAAATAGATTTTTCAATGCATGGACATTAATTGTAGGAATTATTAGAAATTTTTGATTTATCTTATTTCCTTGCGATTATATGATTCAAAAATGGTATAAAACCTAATTTACAATAGTTACAACGCTCATGAGTATACACGAAACTTTTATGCATAATTCTTATAGATCGTGACATAATATTGGATTTGATTCAATCTTCTTTTACATGTTATTTTATTAGTAGGCCAATCTTAAAACATTGAACGGATTTTAAAAATTTTATTTACCGCGAAATTCGTTGTTTTGCTGTCGAATATAATGACAGTGAAATATCAATTGGTAATTCATTTTTTGTTTACTTTGTTTCAAGGACTGCAGTTTTATTTCACAGTGACGTAACGTGCTGTAGTCCTCATCATACAAAAAGATATACATACACATGCGCGCGCGCGCGAGTGTGTGTGTGTGTGTGTGTGTGTGTGTGTGTGTGTGTGTGTGTGTATCTTTTATTGCAGAAGAGCTAGGAACAAAAAAATAGAACTTGTTAAAACTTAACATGTACCAAGAGTAGATTTCTTGAATTTTACATTTTTGAATTATGTATAGTTGTGTATACACACACATGATTACACATTTGATAAATTGAATATAAATATATATTCATATATATATAAATATGCGACTGAATAATAACGAATCACAAATCGCATAGATATTGACCGTTTTTCAAAATTTGCTTGTAAATGCAATACTATGACTTAAACCTTTTCGCTAGTGACGAAAACCGTTCATATGCAAAAAGTGAATATTTCCGACAGAAACAATGCTTATTTCTGAAAATTTCTATAAGCCACAGAAATGAGATTAGAGAAATGTTTTAATTGCTACTCGAAATAATTCTTTTTTCTTGCTCACAACAAATCAAAAATATTGTAAGTAGGTCTGCAATATAATCCTTTTGTCATAAATATTATATAAATTTAAAAAGAATAAAAATGTATATTACCAATGATCACTCATTTGTTAAGAACATAGATGTTATGTTGTTTACAGCGAAAGGGTTAAGTGATGTGTGTTTTAATTTCGTTATAAAAATCGTTATAAAAATTGTTGCTTTGATAAACAAGCATAGTAGCCTCATTGAAATTAAAATCCTCGGTTATAACATTCACATAAAAATAACAATTTTATTGCAAAAAGATGTATAAACAGATTAATTAATAATTTTGAATAAAATTGCAATTTCTATAAATTTGTAGACACATTTCGATTAAAGAAAAGAATTTTTTAAATCGCATAGTCAGATATATAATATTATCACAACACATTATTAATTATGGAAGTTCTATTAATCACAGTTCTCATGTAAAAACTGTCTACCTTACATTCAGCAGTGTAAAAAATTCAGGGTACACACTTAAATCTTGACTATGAAAATATAAAACATTTGGTATAATGTGATTATATATTTTTATCCCAATAAAACAAGACTAGTCACCTAAATTATTTTCTTAACGGGACAGACTATATTTATTGGGTACTCTTCGCGCGATGATAATGCAACTCAAAATAAATTATTACTTACTGTTAGAAATGTGTGTGACTAGCTGACAGTTTTTATGTCAATGTAACAGCAATGTTCATATCAATGTTTACACCCGATTAAGCCTTTACAGAAATCGAAATTTCCAGTAATTATCAATCAGAAGTAACACCATTTGCCATAAAGAATAGCGTCCTTAATAGCAGATATGTACTGTGCAGGAACCCAATATATCCAATATCTTGATGCTTCCGTAGTGCCTAATTGTATCGCCTGCAAATTTGGATTATTGAATTTATTAATATTTGAATTGAAATATCCTTGATAAGTTTTAAGCGATATACCATAATATGATATTCGGGATGATCGTGAATAGGTTCACTGTGAACACCTTTTATCGAATTCATTGGTATTTTATCTGTTCTTTCTTTTGTGCCGATCCAAAGCTGATCTTGTTCCAATTTAAACGTTAGTCTAACTTTTCCTCCAGATTTATTTAACATTCCAGCTAATGGAAATTCGGGCAAAGGTTCCTATACAATTAGCCGACATCAATCATAATAGGATAGATTTCACGCGTCGCTGTATGTGTACATACAAGAAATTTCATTCAAATTATACAACCTTGCTATCTAGTATACCCGGCATCACGTCTTCTGGAATACCTTTGTCTAAAACTTTCCTATGAATTTTTTGTTGCGAAAGAGGTTCTTTGCTCACTGAAGAAACAGTTTCATCAATGAGATCTTGTTTTGTTGGAATCGATACAGCCAATACATCGTCTAACTTTGATCCAACTATCATGATTTTGGCACCTTGGATATTATAAAGTAACATTGTAACATAATTTGATATATCCAAAAGAATAAATAAAATATACTTATATTATTATAAAACATATATTTTGAATGATACATCTCGATTGATAATATTACCTTTAGTTACTCCCAAGTTCCTAAGGGTCTGATCATCTTTAGCTAATCCTTTAAACATAACTTTTTGCATCGCTTGTGGTACTGAGATAATTTTTTGCAAATGTGTCTTTAATTCGGCAACTGTGCTATCTAAAGCAAAATTTATACTAATCTTCTGTTTGTTGTAAATCGCTGTAAAGTCTACATTCTCTGTGGATGGCTCTTGCAAGGTAGTCACAGATGTATCCTGTAAAACAGTGATATTGTTTTCGCTTTCCATCGTAGATTCTTTTGTATCTGTTGCTGAATTTTCAATGGACTTTGAATTCGACGTGAGTTCCGGACAAGGAGATGAGTTGCAACAGCTGTCATTGTTATCATTTTTTGCAGTATCTAAAGAAATAAAGATCATATCAATGTAACAACTGGCAAAAAGCCTAAACTCTCTCTTGTAACTATGACTGCATAGAAGTCATACAAAGATATACGATATTTTAAAGATAAATTGATCGTGAATTAAGCTCAAATTATGCGACACTTATCGAACAACACAAAGCAATGCACAGTATAAATGCAAAAATGTGTAAAAATGCAAATGATTAATCATCAAGTGTTTAATCATCAAAAGGTTAGCGTTTCGAGAAGCAACATTCACTAAAAAAAAATAAAAAATATATATATATATATATATATATATTTCAGCAGGCAAACGACGTAAACGTACGTCGTTGCATCGGAATTGACGATAATCCGTGGCGCAAATACACACTTGGAGTCTCCGATAAGGACGAGCTCAACGTCACAAAAATTATCCGACATACACAAACACACATCACACATGCGATAGAGTGTCTCGACGAACTTAGACGCGGAGCAGCCGCGATCCACCCATTCACCGATACAATTTTTCGCGCGATCGAAAAGAAAGATGATAAAACGGAAATAAAGAGTAACCAGACGTCGAAAATGACCACGGAAAGCAGGAAAAATAAACAGGATTCAGCACGTACCCAGGTACTCCATGTTGAACCGTGTTTCGTTGACCAATCAAATTATCACAGAGAGCGTTGCGGTGCGTTGCCCGTTGCCCATTATTGTTCGTGATTGTGATATTCATCGCGCATCGTGACGCACATTGCATATTTTTCGGAATGACTTTCGAATTTTGTATTGCTTTCGAATCCTGATGTACTATCGATTTTAAAAAAATTAAAAATAAGAAAACATATAAAGTCGATACGTAAGCTTAAAATCATTCGATTGTTTTTTAACCCTAGTTTTGAAGCTCTTCACACCTTTATTCTTATTTATTACAAATTTAATAAGACGACGATAACAGTTTGCAACATTACCATATTAGGTACAAAAATTTATTATTTTTGTCGATCAAAGTTTGAAATGAAATTACATTGATGCAGCAATTTTATCGTAACGGTTGCCATTGACACTTATTGACACCCATTGATTTCGATATATTAATTTTACTTAATCTTATCAATGATTTTGTTATTTATAGAAAAAGCTTATCCTTTTTTAGAAAATAAAAAATATGTAAATGAAATGTGTGAATCACGTGTTTGGGAGATGCAATCCTATACATAAAAATACTTAGCGAAACGAAAGCTAAGATTAATATTTTATTTGTCATATAATGAAATGACAATTTTTTGTCTACTAGAACGTTAAGTGAAATAAAAAGTAAATATATTATGCTTATGATAGGGCACTGATTCTTTTTTTATTCTTTCCTGGATTTTCAAATATTAATGGCGGTCACGTGACATACAAAGCGCGTGTGGATATATATATATATATAATATAAATATATATAATATATAATATATTCATAAGATTCGTGACGCAAAGTATTCGTACCAACTGTCGTTCTATGGTTATATTGTATGGATTTCTAGTTTATTAGCACAATATATACAGTAGCGCAATTCTCCATCGGTGCCTACGATGTTGGTATATTAACATGAACTGCGCATGCATGAGCGAAGTATGTAACCAATCAGGACACGAATATTCCGCCTCACTTCTTCTTTTTATTATAACTATTTCTCTTTCTAACTTGTACATACACGGTGTACGTTTAGAATAGAAATGTACACAGGCGCATGAAATTTATTTCTTGGTATTTATTTCATTATATATTCTTCAACGAAATATACATACAGAAATAAAATTAAATTTTAAATATAAAAAAAATAATTTTAGATAAATTTTATCAATTTGTATTGCTATATTATATTATGTATTGCACAAATGTTGTATTGCACAAATAAAATTATACATGGCTTTTCTAAAAATAAAAGTTAATTAAAGAAGTTAATAACTATTGTTAATAACGATTAGCAATTTATATCTGAAACAAAAAAAGTTACAAATTATTTAAAAAAACATACATATAAATTTTTATTATATAAAACTAATTTATTAGATGATAATATATATGCAAATATGCAAATATAAAAAAATTAAAAAAATAATAATTAGACAAAACAATATGTTAAACACATTGTGAATATATAAATAGTATATTAATTGTTAATAAATTTTTAAAAAAAATATCGTTAGTGTATTTTCATCAATGTTAATTCTATAAAATATATAAAATGTAAAACGAGTATTATACTATATAAATAATGAATGAATGAAAAAAGTAAATAATGAATAGAAATAAAAAGTTCATAAATCATAGACAAAACCATAGACAAAATATAGATTTAAAAAAGGAAGAAACAATATAATATTGACAAATATTAATTTAATTAAAAGATGTCATATTAAAAGATACAATAATACAATAAACATGAAATTTAAATGCAGAAATAAATTAAGATGCCTTAACTTCTAATATTCATAAATTAATAAAATTTATTTATTTCTTCCATATAATTCATCAATCATTAGTTCGTACTTCAGCTAGTCGATTCATCTCGGTACGAACCAAGGAAAGAGCAATAAAGAAAAAATTTAACAATTAAAGTTAAAATTTTAATTTTTTATAACACCTACGAGATGTATGTTCCTGCCACTTTCTATTGAACGTTAGTGTCGGTCCACAATAGGTGATTTAGGCTTTAAAAAGTAAGAAATTGACCAATTATAATCGAATATGAAAAGATTAATGGACTATGATTGATAAATTTCTTATGACTTAAAGATTAAATACTTATTGTGGACCGATACTTAAATGCTTGTATAAGCATCTCATGCTAGCAAACGGAGAAATTATAAAGAAAAAGTGAGACGGAATATTCCTGATTGGTTACATACCTCGCTCACGTATGTGCAGTTCATTTTTACATACGCTAAAATCAGGAATTGCGCTATATCTACTGTGTTATTAGCCATTTCTAACGCATATATGATGTACATACACATACCACACACCACACACACACACACACACACACACACCAACCACATACACACACCAACCACATACACACACCAACCACATACACACCACTCTCACCTATATATAAAATTTATCGAACATGGCGAGTACGGGACGTTCCGCTTTTTCTCGAGATGGCCAATATTATGCGTTTTGTGGTAATGACGGCAAGTTGAAGATCTGGGAGACTGCGAGCGGTAGGCTGAAGCATGAATATACTCCTAATCGACATTTATCGTCGCCTTGCAGCGTGATAGAATGGATCTCCGTGAGCCCACAATCGGCGGGCAACGCATCGGTAAGTTGCGCCATGTGGTCCGCGACTGTGTAGAAATTGCCGCTCCCTTCTTTTACTTTATTTACGCGTTTACCGCACATGATTTCATAGCAAAGCTTTAATCACATTCATTTCTCATCCGTATCAACGTTCGCCCTATCCATAGTCTATTTCCACTTTCTTTAAACTTAATACGCAAGATATCCGAAAGGTTATGTTAAACGCGTATTTTATATTTTTCTTCAAATAAATTTTATTTTAGACTCAATGAACTTTATAAATACTTCCGACGAAAGATTAACAATGAGATTCTTCAATTTTGATGAGTTTAAAAAGTGGATAAAGCAAATTTTTTTATAAATATTCTCCTAAGTATATTAATAAACAAATATAATAATAATGATAAAATTTTTTTTATATATATCCTTTAAGCCAGCGCCAAGAAAGAGACGCAGAAGAAAATCAATATCGGAAGAAATCGATCACAAACCTATAGTGGCAATAGGCTCGTTAAATGGAAAAGTCACTTTGTACGATGTAGCAGCTGCATCTATCAGTGCTACATTGGAAAATGGTCATTCTTCCACTGTCACGGCGATCGCTTGGTCAGCACGTACCGGATTAATTACAGCAGCTAATGATTATCATATAGTAGAATGGAATCTTCAGGAAAATGGGATCAAGTGTAAATGGAAATCTGGTAAAACAAAAATCACAGCTTTGGCAATTCTATCTAATGGGAAGTCTTTGTTATCTGCGGAAAGAATTATCAACTGGTGGGATTTAGCAACCAAACAATTAATCCGCAAATTTACTGGACATGCCAATCATATTACCTTTCTTCAAACCGTACAAATAGATAGTGCAACCAGTTATTTAATCAGTGGTGCTTGTGCAGATAGTCATCTTTCTGTATGGGCATTAGACAAAGTATGTTATATTAAGTATGCATTTCATTTCTCTTTTCTCTCTCTCTTTCTCTCCATCTATATATATGTCTGTGTATGTATGTATGTATATATATATATATAT